GCTCTTCGTTTCCCCCCCCCCCCCCCCGAAAGATCGTATTGGCTGCATGGCAGAGCTCTCGTGCTCATGCGAGCTCGATTCAAACTTTGCTTTGCAGCTGTATGATCCGGAGAGCGCGACGACCAGTCCGGAAGCTTGCATCAATGCTGATCTGGTCCGAGAAGGCTGGGCATTGCCAGACAAGAAGCTGGCCTATTGGAAGTCTAGACCGGCCATGATCAAAGCAGTGGAGGATGCGTCTGCGGAAGCTAGAAGGTTGCACAGAGGTGAGTTTGCCAAACGATTTCTCCTCGTCGCGCACATCCTGGCCCCCCACCGCCGGAGCAAACGCTTACGATTTTCCTCCGTTGGTAGGCATCTTTGAGCTCGGAGACCCTACTGGCGACGACTAGACCTTCCTTCGCTTCGCCTCCAAGCGACACACTCTCCGCCCCCTTCCCCTGCATCATTTTCCCAAAGTTTTTGCCCAAAATCCTTTACTCTACGCAAACTTCGTCAAAAAAAGGCGCAGCAGCATTTGCGCCGCAGCTGCAAGTCCACTTCAGCACGCATACAGAACAAAAAGATCTTGAAATCTATACAACCATCAAAGAGCAAACGCAATGCATCTCATCAGCACGCGAGCATCTTCCGACTGCATTCAAGATTGGCGTGTGATGTGATGCAACGTTCAATGTGAATGCGTGCGATGTGCGTGCGCGCGCAAACATCTTCTCCTTGCCTGTGATTATTCGCCCAAGTAGGTACTTTAGAGTAAGGGGGGTAAGGGCTGATGCCGTCCATCGCCGGCGCTGGGCGACTTTGTCTAGGAAGAATGAGGGGGGGCAAATGGCATACCCTGGATCTATGAGTGACGCGGGGTCATCGCTTCCATCTTGTGCCACCTCGTCTCTCGCCGAGTTGCCAAGAACGCATCGGCATCATCGTCAGGTCCGCGCCAAGCGTGTTTTTGGGTAGGCACGAGATTCGTCACCTTTTGCACAGCAAGGGGACGCGCACGAAACGATCGGCAGCGGGGGGGCGCAAATCAGTCACGCTTCCAGTCACACGGTCGGAATCGAATCGCGTTCAAGAAGCAAACAACAAACTCACGCAGTATCGTTTGCCGAGCTCCAATCCGAGCTCGTTGAGCTGCTCCACATCCCAGACGGTCAGCTGCACTCCCCTTTTGCTCCGAGCTCTGCGTCCCTTCCAAACGTCGGGTCGATCGACAGGCTCTGCTCCCGCATCTCTGAATCTGATGATCCTAAAGCTCCTCGAGCGGCGAGCGGGGCAGATTCGTGCCAACCGAGTCTCCAATTCGACTTGTGCCTGTCTTTTCAGATCTTCAAGACGATTTGCCGCGAGCTCAGCTAGAGCGCCGAGCATGCTCTTTGGCACGTGTCCAATATGAAGCTTGGCGCTGCAGAGCTGCTCAAAATAGTCGTCGAGCTGATCGCTAGGGACTGCGGCAGCACAATACAAGGAGCACTGAGCTGTGTCGGCGCTTTCTTGGTGGCGCTCTTCACATTCGCGGACTTACCCGAGTGGAAAATCTTTGCATCATGACTCGCCTCGTGAGCCAGCTCGTGCAGAGCGCCGCCCAAAGAAGCCAAGTCATCAAGTCTGGCCTGAGCTTCGTCTTCGAGACGAGTCCTGGCATCTGCCAACTTTTGCATCCAAGCCTGTCTCTGCTCCTCTTCCTCCGCCTCGCTGCGCACATTGGTCATGGTGATGGCTTGTCCAGCATCGCCTCCACATCTATCGGCAGAGTCGATGTAGCCGATAGGAAACAAGCGCGTTACGATGATTTCCATGCGAGGCACGACGCCCCCTCGCGCATTGAGACTCCGCAAAGTCGCGACGAACGGTTTCCCAACGAAACCCAAACGCGCATCCCAGCGGGCCAAGGCGGTGCCGTTGGAATTGAGGATGAGCGAGGAGATATTGAGACCTTTGAGCACTTCCACCGGCTCTGGAGTGCCATCGCGCTGGATAGGCGTTTTTATGACGTCAGGGCACATCGGACAAGCACTGCGTGCAGCCTTGGCAATTCAGCCCAACTCACTCTTGCACCAGAGATGGACAACTTCACTCCCACTTTGATGAGGCCTCTGAGCACAGCTCGGCGCATCGGCTCGTCGATCGTTGCTCGAATGCGGTACCAGCCATCGGTGAGCTCGAGAAAGGGAGCCTCATCTGCTTCCAAATCCTTTGCAATCGACCAGACGCAGAGAATCATGGGACGACCCGACGCGGAATCTTGCTCCTGTATGCGTTTGACTGCCGAGCGTTGAGCCAGATTGACTTCACGCTCGTATCTGGACGCAAAAGGATCCGACGTAAGCACGGCACCGGACCTGCAAAACATCTTCCACTCACCGATACAAGAGCTGATTCAGCATCTCTTTGCCGGTAAACATGCTTTCATGACGATCTGGCTCGTGGCGCGTAATGGCGGCCATCTTCCACAATATGAGCAACCAGTGGTTCTTGACCCACTCTAGGTCGACATGAACCGCACGCCTTTGGTGCAAAGCATCGAGAGCTTGCCGAGGACCAAAGCTTGAACCGTCTGGCATGTCAAACTCAAACTCGATGCCCCGTGCAGGTTGATCAAGAATCACCGGTACCTCGTCAAACATTTGTCGTATCTTCTTTGCGCTGGTGCTCTCAGGCTTGATTCCCCTCTGCTGCATGCTTTGACGCTTCGCCGAGTGAGTGGAGAGGTCGAAAAGGGCCTCGCCTTTTGCAGGCTGCTTGGTTTTGCTCGAGACCGCGTACTCGTGACCCACAACGGTACCGCTAGGTCTCGCGTACGCTATTGGTATGTCGAACAACCCGTCCGGCCTGCTTCTTTTGACGCTCGGAGAGGCAGAGGCAGAGGCAGCGGACAAGCCGACTCTCGAGCTCGAGGTGGCCAACTTTGAAGCAGAGGCCGGAAGGGCTTGACCAGGTGGTCTTTTAAAAGGAGACTGAAATTTTGGACGTCCGGCTGGATTTCGACCAAGAGAGGTGCGAGGCGTAATTCCGAGCGCTACACGGTTGGCGGAGGAAGGCGCATTGAATGGGAAGGGCAAGGCAGAGGTAGAGGCAGGCCAATTTTGAGGTTTTGGTCTCGGCGTAGACCCAGATCGAGGTAATGAAAAGCCTAGATTGCTGCCAGCCACATGCTCTGTCCGGCCGACAGCCTGCGGCGCTGGAGAGGCCCCATCGGTGCTTGTGGTGCGCGAACCCATCTTCGGCTTGGCTGGTGTCACATACTCGTTCTCGGTGCTTGTCAGAGCGGCATGTTGGAGAGGCATGTTTTCATTAGTCGTCTGAGCTAGGGGCATCCTGGACCGAGACGGGGTAGCGAGGGCGGCAGCAGGCGGTGCGGGCTTGGCCCGAGCCGTAAGCGAAGTGGTCGTTGTCGCTGCGACTCCCGCTTTGAAGTCGTCGTCGTTCATGTCAAGAAAGCGCGCTCTGGCTGCCTCGAGCACAGCGGCGCTCGGCATCGCAAAAGCTTTGCCGCGCCCAGTCGAAAATCCGCCGCCCACCGCTGAGGTAGTGAAGCCAAATTTGGGTCCACCATCCCGCTTCAACTTCGAACTTGCAGCTTCACCTGTATCGCCGTCAAACTTTTGCGCATCAAAGTCGAAATCTACGCCTTCGAGGTCAGCAAACAAGTCCGGATCCAGACTGAACTCGTCGTCCGAATCGCCAAAGGACTGCTTCGCTTTACTAGCCGGTGCATGCTGCAGCTCCTGAAGAGGCTTCGAAGCACTCGTCGATCTAGCGCTGCGAGCTCGCTTGAAAGCGCGAGCGACGACGGCAGGAGAAGCATCCGGTGCCAATTGACTGCGAGTCTGACTGTCGACCACAGGATGCGGCGAGCACATTCGCTTGGCAGAGCCTTCAGGGCTCAGCTGCACATCGTCGAAATCTTCGCTGTCCAGGCCATCCAATAGATTGGAGTGCATGTTGGTTAGATTTCCCATGGCAACAATGCCCCGCTGTTGACCAGGGCTGGAGAAAACGCCGTTTCCTTGCGCCGGCGGCACGGGATCGCTCACGGCCGTACTGAAAGGCTCTCGCGAGCTCGATGGTGCCACAATGGGCTCAACAGGGGCTTGCGAGACCAGCGTCGGTGAGTTGCTGCATGGCTTCAACGAGTCTGCCGCGTCGACGTTGCAATGTGAAGGCCCTGGTTGGTAGACGGCAAGTGGCCCATCGCGCCACTGACTACTGTGCGTCTGCAGCTCCCACAGATCACGCGACCCGCTATCTATGGGAGCGGATCTTGTGGTCGTGGTGGGAGAAAGGCGCTCTAGCAGCACAGTGGCCGCCAAAGCGCTGTTAGGGTCCTCTACAGCCACGCCCGACCCAGCATCGCTAGCGCGCACGGTGTCTAATGCTTGACTGTCCTCATCGTGAGCTGTGCTTTGCGTCTGTTCGAGCTTGGCATCCAATCTGACAGCCTTCTCTCGTTCACATGCCAGCGTTGGCGATTTGGAGGTCGGCATGGGATGTGAAGCAGGTAGTGGACGTTCGTGATGGGCCCACACAGACGCAGCACCCTCCTCTTGTAGCGAAAGCGGACAGGCGTCGTCTTGGCCGGCACAACCCGGAAGCCCTTTATCATCTGCGTCTCCACCAGCCTGGGAAGCACCGGTTTCCTCTGCGTGTTGTGCATGGCTGGATCGACCCTCCCTCTGACGCGGCGAGTCCAGCGTTCGATGCGGAACTTTCGACATTCTCTCGTTTTCTTCGAAAGCTCCCGCTGACCCACGAGCGACCCCGATCGGCTTTACGTGTGCGCCATCCTCCAGTGGGCTCGAGCTCGGTGCCAAGATGCGAGGGTCGGCACGTCTTGTGGACTTTTCGGCGATCCTTACCACGTCGCTGCTCGCTTTAGCCCGGATTGGATCCTCTTCATTCATGTCTTTGCCAGGCAGATCGCCGTCCTGCGCCGCGCTTCGAGATGCTCGTCTGCGCGCGCGTCGGTCGGCACTCGTGGCCATGATGAGTTGGTCAGCTTGGCGCATAGCATCAAATGCTTCTAGATCCTTCTGCCTCTTTTGCTCTTCCCTGGCCTTTTCCTTGGCAGTACCGAGGAGTTGTGGACGAGCAGATGGCGTTTTGACGCAGCTGGCATCGCGTCTTCGAAGAGCACGTGTGGGTGGAGCTGCATCGCAGGAATGCGCGCTCCATCTGGCACGCGCATCGCGCTCAGCACGACCATTCGTATGCTTGGCCGAGCTCTCATCTGATCCCGCGCTGATGCGAGAGGTGCTGGGAATCGCGATAGCTGCGAGCGGCTCAGCTTGCTGCTCAGAGAGCCGCGTGGATGTCCGACGACGCTTTGGTGACGACATGCTATGAACCCTGCCGGGGGGTGATGTGCTGGCTGGTGATCGAAGGAAGCGACGACGCGGAGGCGCGCTCCTACCCGCTTGTATGCGCTCCGCCAATCGAGGGGCTGCGTGTGGGCTCAAGGTGCTTGAAGTCTGGGCTGGTTGACACGTTTTGACGATCTGCTGAATCTTGGCCTCGAGGCGATGCTAGCGAGACGTTGTCGATGGAAGTCGTGAGTGTGAGTGTGAGGAGTCCAACACTCCACTCTCACTCGCGCTGTTGCACGCCGCCGCACCTCACTCTACGCGCCAGACGCGCGCGAAGCAACGCTTGCTTGGACGCGCCTGCCTGCCTGCCTGCCGGCCTTCTACCGTGCGAGATGGCGCCGCTCGCGCGGACGATTCGTGATTTCAATCTGAATCTTTCTTGAATGTGAGTTACAAGGGTGGGTATAGCTCGTCTCGCACACGAATTGAACACTCACGACTCTTGACTCATGACCTTGCATCCTCTGGCACCGACTCGATCCTGACTTGCACCTCGACCCATGCAAGTGGACAGACATACATTGCCATCTACCTGGCCTTGTATTTCAGCCTTTGCTCCGCTCGTACCCTTGCTTCGCTCCTTTGCGAGCTTCTGAGCGTGCCTCTAGGAGCCGTAGCGCCAGTGACGACATGACCGTTGCAGTTGCATCCCCCGAAGCGTCCTCCTCAAAGTCGGTATCGCCGCAGCAGGTCGAAGTTGACGTGAGTTTGTAGCGCTTGTGTGAGAGACTGCGACGCGGTGCAATAAGCTCACTTTCACAATGGCCCCGGCCCACGCGTGTACAGGCCAACGCGCTTTCTTCGGCCCTTCTAGAGCTGGTGGCTGTGCTTCCCGTCAAGCCGTCAGCTGAAGAAGCAACCAATTATCTCGCTTCTCTCACACCCATCTTGGCCCAACTCAGAGCCTTGGGCAGAAGGGTTGCAGAGGACAATAAGAGATCCAAAGGCAAGGTGGCCGAGAGGAGAGCAGAGGTGGACGAATCTAGGTTGAGATTGCAAAACCTGGAGTATGAGAGGAGCCAATTGGAGGGAGAGATTAGGAGGTGTAAAGAGTTTGTGTGAGTGGTGCAAGCGATGTGCATGTATGCGCCTGTTTTTGGCTGACCATGCCCGGTGCCTCTGCACTCGCTCCTCAGATCCGTCTTTCAGGATATTGAGCTGAGAGATTTGTCAGAATTTCAAGCCATGGCGCCCGAAGAGCTGCGGACGGAGCAGATCATGTCAGACGCGCACAGCTTGATGCTGGCGAGATTGGAGTATGAGCTGATTGAAAGGCAAGAGTGAGTAGTAGCATGTATGCTGATGCTCCCACACCTCGTAGCTCAATGCCGACTCGCTGCTCCTTTCACGTACGGCATACGTGGTTCAGGTTGGAAGAGGAGAGAAGGGGCTTGCTATCCGTCAAGTCACAACTCTTGCACACCAACAGATCCAAAGCGGCTCAAATTGCGGAAGCCGAAGCGGAGCTGGGGCGTCTATTGTCAAGTGTGAGTTCGCCATGCGATGCGGTGCGGTGGAAATGTCGAAAGCGACATGTATGCGCTGCGAATGGACGACCGCTGACGACGCGCACCATGGCGCTGAATGCGCGCGACTTTTTCCAGACGGCAGAAGCGGTCGCACAGCGATTGGAAGCTTGTCAAGCTGCTACCGAGACGGCGACAGAAGCCTAGCACGCGTATCATTCGGAATTCGACCGAGAAGCTGGCTTACATGTCACATGCAACCTGTTTCTCCCGCGTCTTTTGATGACGATACAAATAAGGCTCTCTCTCGATCTTTGTCTGCGTGTCTTGTTTCAGGGCCTTGCACAACACATGACTCTGACTGATGGCGCTTGAATGCCATCTCATACACCGAGCTCCTGGTCTCCATTTTGAATCGCATTCATGATTAACATGTGCGTCGTGCAAAGCGTGTGGTGTGGCTTACCTCGTGCACCCGCAACGCAGCAGTCGTGGGTCGTGAGTCACGGGTGGTGAGGAGGGGGCCCTTGCATGAAATTCGACCCAAGGCTGCAGCTACAGTGTGAGTCACGAGTACATCGGCTCGGCTCAGCGGGTCGTGCGCGTGCGCGTGCGGGCGCTTCCGCTTTCCCTTGGTGATCGTGATCGCTGCTGCTGCTGCTGCTGCTGCTGCATGCGCGCTTGATCCCACGCGCGCGCCACACAACAGCAGCAGGCACGCACCATCGCGGCGCGGCAATCGATGATGAGCTTTCGAACTGGTGACTGTGAGAGGCGCGGCAATGCTATATACAATCACAATAATGTGAATGTGAATGCTGCTGCTGCTGCTGCCAACACGCTCATCATCTCCACGCTCCGTGTGCGAGTGCTCGCCACCACACCTCTTCACTTTACGTCTACAAGCTTGTGCCACCTCCTTTCTCATCGCTGCCTCCGACCGAGCCGGCAGCGGAGCAGTCGAGAGTCGATCCTCCTGCAGCATACACGCACGCAACACACGAGTCGCTGGCAAACGCCGCGTTTCACTTTTCCAAACGCACACACACTCCCGCGTCGTCTTGGTCGTAGGAGTCGTGATGTCAGCGCCAGCATCACCCCCGCTCGTAGGTGGCGAGCCAGGTGCACCGACAGGCGGACATCCTCACACCATCTCGCCCCCCACTCCCGCACCCTCACCTCAACCTTCTGGCCTGTCTCGTCTGGCCACTTCCTCAGCTTCCTCAGCCAGCGCAGCTCTCATTTCCGCCCTACCCACAGAAGGAGCGACACTTCGCAAGTACATTTCGCTCATCTTCCCCTCTCTGATCAGCAGCGACAGGTTGCAGGTCCTCAGCGAGCTGCTGGCGCTCTGCTCTTTGAGAGAGTTGGCTCAGCTTCAATCCGACATCTCACCTCGACTCAAGGTGGATTTTCTGGGTGCCCTGCCCATCGAGCTCAGCCTGCACGTGCTAGGATTCATCGATGACCCAAGAACGTTGGCCAGAGCGAGCGCCGTCAGCAGATTCTGGCGCAGCCTGGTCAATGATGAACATACGTGGAAGGCAATGTGCTCCAAGTATGCGTTCAGGTTGCGAAGGACTAGCATGTCTGCAAGTCAAAGCGCTCCTTTTTTGCACCACCAACCTGCCTTTGGTCTGTCGCCTCTGCACCCTGCTGCCAGCGCTTCCAGACTCGGATACCCGCGCGGCATGTCCCGAGCCAGCTTTAGCGACGAGGACGTGGTGGAGGAAGACGCAGTGATGGAGGAAGAGGACGAGCATCTGGATGACGGTCAAATCCTCTCTTCCCTCTACGAGCGCTATCGAGCTCGTGGTTTGGATCCGTCCAACGCTCTGCACGAGCTACGAACCCTTCACGATCTATTCCTCGCCAAGCAGGCAGATGGAAGTATCGCCGGCGGCACCAACTCGAGCTCAGACGCCCTCGGTGTGGGGCTGGCCAAGGCTGGAAGAGGCAGCCTAGACATGAGCGAAGCGGACAGAATGTTTTACCGTCAATTGGAAGAGATCGTAGCTGAAGAATCTCGCGAGCGTTACGGAGAGGAAGTGGTCGATGGTGCGGATGATGACGCGTATGAACAGCCAAGGTCTCTACATGCAGGTCCATCGTCCGATTCGTCCCGCGTACTCGGCGAGACGAGTAGTCGAACGCCCGAAGCCGGAAATGCGACCACACCAGGCAATTGGGGCTGGCTCAGCGCTGGCTCCTTTGCAAATCTGCCGGGCTCTAGGATGCTGCCCTCTTGGCCAGCGTCGAGGACACCTAGAGAAGGCTCCGCAGTCACTGCTGGTCTTGGAGCTCTCACCAGTCCAGCTAGGGATCGGGCAAGCTTGCCACAGGTCGGCGAATATGGCACTGCGCCCCCCGAGTCAGCGCACAGACCTGCTGATGGCTATGGAGAGGGAGATGTCGAGATGAGCGACAATACGGAAGAGGCAAGTGTCGCTGCTCACGTTGCTCGCTCATCAGCACGCCGCGATCGCGACCCCTTGCATGCATCGCCATCCAACACGACCACCTCTGCGCCGCGAAGGCGATCGGGAGATGCGCAAGGCAAGCGGATGAAGAGGCGCAGCGCACCTGGTCAAGCTCATGCGGCATCTGCATCCGACGTCTTCCAAGATGCATCTTCCTCCTCTGCCAAGGCAGCGACGCCGAGCTTTGCGCTCGGAAGACCTTCTTGGATGTCCGGGTCAAATGCAAAGTCTAATCGAGCGGCCACATATGCGGAAGGCTTGCCGGAAGCTCAGTCGCGCAGCACGCCTTTTAGCTACAAGACGCACTTTAAGCTGGCTTACTTGACGGGTGAGTTTGCATGAAATTGCTGGCGGCTGCCAGCAGGCTGATTCATTGGACGCTCCCGGCCATCGCAGAGTCCAATTGGCGCAAAGGAGGGCGTTTGCTCACTCGGTACACTTCTACGGAAGGCGGTGCAGTGGTCACATCCCTGGCCGTCGACAAGGAATGGATCGTGGTGGGTATGGCGAATGCCAAGATTCACGTCTTCGACGCGCAGACAGGCCTTTACGCGCGGACATTGATAGGCCACGAGACTGGCGTCTGGGCCCTCACGCTGGTTTCGAGCACGGGAGGCAGTCAAGCTCGGCTAAGTGAAGGCAACGGCAAGGGAAAGCTAGACGCGGCTAGATTAGCCCGCGCAGATGCTGGTGCTGCGAGCGGAGGCGATCTCGAGCTCGTAGAGCACGATCTTCGACCAAGCGCATCTTCATACGACGACGAGGCGCTGATGTACGGCGGAAACCTTGACGCGTCGGCAAGGTCGACTTGGAGCTCCACAAGCGATGCTCCCCTTCGAGCTCCCTCGCTCGTCTCGAGATCTAGCGCTGCCAAGGCTGTGCCGAGCCGAACGCAGAGCAGCAGTGGTTTGTACACCGTCTCGTCTAACGATTCTACTTCTGGCGAGGATGAGACGCTGGAATGGTTCCACAGAGCTAGGCGGGCGATGCTGCGCAAAGCTACGAGCAGCTCCAATCTCAATCTCGGAGCTGTGGCTGGTGACGGTGCGAATGCTAGCGCTGCTTCATCGACACTGCGAGGTGGACCGATTTCGGCGCCTGCAGCTGCCGCTTCGCTCAACGCAGCAACTGGATCAGCTCGAGACTTTGCACGAGCGCAAGCAGAAGCGGAAGCTGATGCGGGTAATGTCAGAGATGCTGTCATGACCGCATCGTCTGGCGCAGGTGGTGGCATCCCGACGCACATTACCGATCAGCTGGACGCTTCCCACTTTAGCTTCTTTGGCGACTCGGACGCTGGAGATGCTCCCTCGGCTTGGGCCAACAGCCGGTCTCCGATGGGCGCCGCTGGCTTCGTTGCACCTTCTGGTGGAAACCATCGCGCGAGCGGGGGCGGAAGGCCTTTCAGCAATGCGAATCCGTGCGGAAGCGTCAAGGGCTACGGCAACAGGGATGCGCTCGTCGTGACGGGCGGTTGCGACCGGGATGTTCGTGTGTGGAATTTGAGGACTGGGTGAGTGTACTTGGCTTGAAAGGACTTGGCTTGCGCCGCGATGCTGATTTCATTCATGCCAATATTAGCGTCTGCGAACACATCATGTCTGGACACGGTTCCACCGTCAGATGTTTGAAGGTGATAGAAGGTCGGCCACTCGCGGTATCGGGCTCTAGAGATAGCACAGTGCGCGTCTGGAACATCCAAACCGGCAAGCTAGTGCACCAACTGTCCGGGCACCAGCATTCGGTGCGCTGCGTCGAAGTGGCTGGCAATAGGATAGCTAGCGGAAGTTATGACTGCATGTGCAGAGTCTGGGACGTCGATACGGGAGAGTGCATCAATGTCCTGAGGGGACATTTCCACCAGATTTACGCCATCGCATTTGATGGTGTCAGAGTGGCTACCGGAAGTTTGGACTCGACGGTGCGCATTTGGAGCGCTTCGACCGGGTAAGTCGTTGCTGTGCGTGCCGCATTCGATGTGCATCGTCTGACGCGCATCATCATCTTCTCGCCCGACCTCTGCCAGCGAGTGCCTTTGCGTTCTGCAAGGCCACACTTCGTTGGTGGGACAGCTGCAATTGACAGACTCTACGCTGATCACTGGCGGTTCGGATGGTCGAGTGATCGTCTTTTGCTTGGACACATTCACCACCAAAGCCCGCTTGTGCGCGCACGACAATTCCGTCACTTGCTTGCAATTCAACGACCGCTTCATCGTTACGGGAGGAAATGATGGGCGCGTAAAACTGTGGGACTTTGCTACAGGCCAATACATCAGAGAGATGGTGGAGCCTGCGGAAGCGATTTGGAAAATGACATTCAGGAACGATTGTTGGTGAGTTGCAAGTGATGGCGATTGAGTTGAAGCGTGCGACAGGCCAGGTCCCCTCATACTATTGCACCGTTTCGCCTTTCCACAGCATCATTCTTTGTCGACGCAACGGTCGCACTTCGATGGAAACCATCAGCTTCCGACCTCTTTTAGATTCATGAATCCATCCCAATCGAATTTGCCCTGCCCTCCAGGTACACCTCCGCAAGCTCGAGCTCGCGCCACCTTTGCTGTGCTACGATGGTCCTCGAGCTAGCTGCCTAGCGGAGTCAATATCAATCAAGCGCAATCCCCTCTGCACATCTCTTCAACTTTTCTTGGCCGCACGAACCCGCTTGCTGAAACGTCATCCCTTTGTGTATTTGTTTATATCGTGATTCCTCCATGCATGCACGCGTGACTCGTCGCGCCCGCCCCGTTCGTCTCGCCGCCTTACTTGGCAAGTCGAGTGGACATGCATGTCATTCACGAATGAATCCACGTCGCGAAGCGCACAAAACCCCGTGTTTGTTGGTAATGACGACGCATTGTCAAAGTTTGAAAGCAGAGGTGAACGAGCGAGCATGTGGAATGGGGAGCCTTGAACGCGAGTGTGCGTGCATGCTTGCTTGCTTGCTTGCTGCTCCATCAGGCGCCTCGAGGCACGGTTGGTCCAGTGCCTCTGACGATGAGTCTGAAAGGGCGCACGCGGCCACTCGGATGTGAGCGCAGTGTGCAAGGCATGTCGCGTCGGTAGCGCGGGCAACGATGGCATGCCAAGCTAGACGCTAGACGCTTCGCCGCGAGCCTAAAATCGCTTACTCACCCATTCTCTATCATCTCCAATCTCAAAAGCAGCCGTTTAGCAGCGCTGATCCTCTTCTCTCCAATCCTGATCGCCTCCTCAAACAACTCTTGCCTCTTGTCCCTCTGCTCCAATTCCATCACACCTCGTCTCAAGTCCACTCTTCCTTCAACCTCTCCTCTCTGCACCAGCCCAATCAGCTCCGGAAGCGTTTGGGCTTCCGTCCAGCCAAAAGCGTCGCCCACGCGCGAGACGCGTACGCTGTCGAACGAGTGCAGAAATTGCTGCATCATGCGAGTGATCAGCATCATCTTGAGCGTTGGTACGTGCGGTCCAAGGTGAATGTCCAGATCGTGCCGAGTCTGTCGAGACATCGAGGAAACGCATCAGCATACTTTGCAAGGCAGGCAGGCAGTCGCTTGCTCCAAACCCCCATTCGACGTCGAAGACGTCAACAACACCACGCGCGCACTCACCTTCCACTTTTGTAAAAGTTGCAAGCCCCCTTTATAGTCGCAAGCGTAAAAGGCCTCTAGAATAGCTCTAGAGTGAGGTGAATGCTCCAAAAAGGCTGCAAATGCTGCACTGTCCACAAGCGCGCTCTTCAGCCTCCTTCGATCAAAGGTAGCGAGGGCAGAGAGAACAGTATAGAGCGCAATGTCGGCAGGAGACATGATCTGCAGTCACAAGTTTGGGTGGCGTGCCAAAGCTCCGTCAGCATCCGCAGTGTGAGTTGGAAATGCCGCACTCATGCTCTTACATGCGCATAAGTTGCCGCCAACCGAGTCGAAGCGACATCGCCAGGCAATCCGAGCCAGATTCTAGCCGCTTTCTCAAAGTTGCCCATTCCCAGCTGGACAAGCGCAGCGGTGATGGACAGCCTAGCTGCAAGATCTTTGACTCCTCTGTCAGCTGTGGCTTGGTCTCTTCGAGCGGCAGCGCTCGTTGCGGACGTAGAAGCACGAGCCATTTCTTCTCTCGTCGAAGAGCCGCCGGAGCGAAAGAGCGCGCCGATAGCATCTCCACCTGACCCTAGACCTCCCTTGGACGCCACGCTCGCGGATGACGACAAAGCACCTGCACCACTCGTCTTGCGAGCAGAGGAAGAAGCGGCCGCTGCATTGGGATTGTACGTCTCCAGCACACCTTCAGCTTTGGAGACCCAGGTGGAGACGTTCGTGTAATTTTGCAGCTCCAGCGAGATCTACAGGAGAGTGTTGGAAATGATGAGACTTTGTCGTCATCCATCCAGGCACGCCTACGACGCACCTCGATGACACCCAAACACATTTCTACAACGTGTTCGCTGGTGGAGCAGAATTCCCTCGTCTTTTGGTAGCATTGAAGTGCTTCGCTCATCCTGCCTGTCGCTCTAAAGTGTTCCGCCAGATCACGATGACCCATCTTGATGAGCGAGCACGAGGAGCGAGCGCGCACGCGCGTAAGACTGATCAGCACACGCATGCCAAAATGAGACCGACGTCTGGGCAGCTGCTGCCCCGACTCACACGAATGCTTTCCTTGATCATGTTGTTCTGATAGCCTCTCAGCTCGATATCCAGCTTCTCCAGCTCCTTTTCATTCTCCAGATCGACCTGTTGCACCCAAGCGTGGTCTACCCTTTGCAAATGTTCAGCGCCAGATGCTGGACCAGCTGAATCGCGTATTCGGAAAGCATACAGGTACTGCTTCGTGTCTTGACCTTGACGCAGAAGCGCGATGGCTGCTTGAGAGCATACGAGACGCAGAGCTGCAGACCTCTCGGCGAGGTGCAATAGCCGGGCAATTTGCGTTTGCCCTGCATAGACGGCGGACGCGATGATGAGCGGTGGATAAATGGGATGAGGGCAAGATTGCGACTTTAGCTTCTGCCTCCTTGCGAGCGTCTTGGCCCTACATCTCACCCTTGTATGCCGATCTGTTGCGCGATGGAGGATGTCAGAAAGTGATGAGAACGTCTCAGCATGACACGTTGCTTGCAATGTGCCCTGACAGCATTCGCCAAAGCTCACATGTAGCTCTCCCAATCAAAAGGATCGTCATCTTCAGGCGTCACTGTCTGTAGCGCCGCATCTTCTCCACGAAGCGCATGCGCGATCTGCTCGTCGTGCCGAGTGGCGTGCTCGGCGGTAGACGTGGATGCGGACATGATGATCAGCGCCGCGCCGAGATTGCGTGTGTGTGCCTCCAGCAAAAGGTGGACCAGCTGGCGGACGAGGGCAAGTGGCGGGGTGCAGAGCAGACAGGCGCACAGCGTGAGCCACGGGAGACTGCTGACTGCTGATATGATGTGTCGATGCGAGACTCTGAAGGCGGGCGGGATCTAGTCCTGGATCAAATCAAGGCGATCTGCGGAGCGGAGTGGAATGTGAGTGTCGATCGTGCGAGTCGCGAGTGGGAGATGCGAGATGAGAAAAGCCGAGTGTAGGTCTCGAGTGTGAGTGTCGTCTGATGATGGTGTGCATGTCGGTGCGCGGGAGGTGTAGGCAGGCAGCCACCCAGCAGGATCCTCACTCAGCACATGCTGCTGCTCGCGCGCAGCATCAGCATCAGCATCAGCATCAGCTGCAGCGCGCAACGATGAGGGCTCTGCATCGACGCTAACGTGGCCGTGCGCGTGCGCGGTTTCCATGCGTGCACGCAAGGTGTGGAGGATGCATGCCTGATGGATGTGCCGCATACGCTTCGCCTCGCCTCGGCAGCGCAATCTTGTCTCTTGTCTCTTGTCTCTTGCCTCTTGCCTCACTCCTCACTCCTCGCTCCTCGCTCCTCGCTCCTCACTCCTCACTACTCACTGAATACACTAGCCAGTGACGGAATGCAGGATGCCATACTCCTCCTTGCGCTTTGTTCCCTTGGACGCCGCTCCTCACGCACTTCACGACGATGACACCTTGACCAAAATCAAAGCTTGGGATCCCAGAGGGTACGAAGCGACGAGGTCATCGTCGTCTGTCTCCTCGTCTTCGCTAATGCCACCCTCAGCTTCGGCATCGGCCTCGGCATCGGTGTCGATGTCGGCCCCCACCTCTATCTTGAGATCTAGTGCTAGCCTGTCGCCTCAACCGAGCCGGACAGCCAAGGCTATAGGCATGCAATTGCTGGAGGAGTCGCAGCGTCGAATTGATCGCAGATCCCTCGAGCTTGAATGGAGTGCGGCAGCATCAGTATCAGAGCGAGGAGAGGGAGACGTGGCGGGGATGCGCCAGTGGAGCGACAAAATGTATGCGAAGCAAGGAGATGCAGGATGTCCTCACCCAACTGCGTAACGTCGTCGCGGTCGAGAAGGGCGAGGAGAGCGCATTGACCAAGCAGATCTCGGTCCTTCTGAACGCATATGCTAGTCAGCTGCGCGTGTTCAGGACGAACAGAGCCCCGCCCACTCGCACTGCGTTGACAGGGCAAACGCTCGACTTTGATCCCATCACGCCTAGGGACCAACAGACAAAGACGATCGTGAGTCGAGTCAGGTCGGCCAGGCGTTCAATCAGTCAGAAGGGCAGGCATGCAGAGACCAGCAACCGCAAAGAGAGGTGCATTCACGAACACAGCGCATAAGCAGCAGCTCTGCGCGGGGCCTCGGACCACACCTGCTCAGCGTATAAAGGTCACTCTGGCATGCGCACGTTTGCACTTTTGACTCACCAATTTGCCTCCTCGTGCCACACTCTACCCGCAGACCAGCAATGGCGAGGACAATATGCCAGACATTGTGCTCATCGCTGATGCTATGGCCTCCGTCTGCGTCGACCTCACCGATTCGCAGACCGACGTTGGAGATGGGACTTTCCGCCCCAGTGCATCCGTGCAGCATCCGTGGTTGCAATACGCCGCCGTGGTAGAGGTCAAGCGGCACGAGAGGGACGATTTGAATGAATCGACTGTTGGTCAGATGCTCAGATACGCCGTGAGTCCGCCGCACCGCGCCGGGCCGAGCCGCATGCTGCTCTGCTCTGCTCGTCCCACAAGCGCTCACATGCTCCGCATCCACCCATCTAGCGTCAGCTCCTGATCGCGCACCCCTTTGCGCGGTATGTGCATGTCGTTTCCTGGACCGGCAGCAAAGTTCGCATCTGGCAATTTGGAGCCAATGGAATAGTCTTCTCACGGGCGGTCGATGCTGCTGCGGCTGCCTTGCAGGACCAAACATCGCTAGACCATCTAGGTAGGCTTCTACACCTCCTAATGTCCGGCGAGTCTACCCTTCTGCCCCGCTGGACGCCAAAGTGCGACGGGGCGCATGCTCTGCTAGCGCAGCAAGTCGCACAGGAACAAGCGACAGCGAGGGCAGCGGGCATAGCTAACAACGGTCTCAACCAGGATCATGTGAACCTCATCACCAGCGATGCTCTTCGCGTCGTATACGTGCGCCCGTCTTTGCACGGCTCTCGCACCGTCGTCTTTGGGGTTCCGCTGCACGATCACGATGGTGAGCACATCTTTTTGAAATGCTGCTGGCTGTCAGAGCATCTGGCCCATCACGAAAGAAATATGCTGGACAAGCTGGGTGATGTGAGCGGTGCACCTCGTGCCCTTGCTTCCTTCGACCTCGGATGGACAACGCCAAGTGGCGAGCCAGTCTGCGGAGCCGACGGGCGTGCGGACAAAGCAAAGCTGTCCGCCTATGTGTTGGTCTTTACGCAGCACCGCGGATGCCAGATTCCCTTGACTGCATCATTGTCAGACAAGGCGGCCGTGTTGCAGCAGCTCGTACATCGACTGCATGATTATGCCCAAAAGGGATTACACTACCGCGACCTCAACACTGGCAACGTCCTAATGAGGCCTGGCACCAAAGCCGAGCCGCTCCTGGTCTTGGTAGACCACGGAAACGTCAGGGAAGGTGGCAACCCCCGTCGAGGCGTACAAGTCCGCGAAACGAGTCCTGGCGACAACACACGAGCGCATGATGACCAACTAGTCGCCATCATCCAAGATGATGCCCGGTCTATCAACCAACTCTTCGTACCATCTGGCATGCAAATGGCCGAGACTCAGTTGAGCATATACCGGACGAGCTTGGAATCATTTCGAAAGGACAAGCAATTAGCCGCATCGGCGACATTTGGCAAAGCAATTTATGACAAGCGAGTCTTGAAATCAGAAGCAAGATGGCGAAGTGCCCACAAGGACGCATATACTCGCCTACATCGCTATTGTGACGACGTCGAGTCGCTAATCTACATTCTTGTTTGGATTTCGACGCGCGCAAGCAAGCTTAAAGATCTGTATAAGCACTTGACCAACCAGACTCGCAAGTCACTCACGTGGGAAGATGCTGATCAATTTCGACAAGTAAGCGCCCAAATTTCTGGTGGTCCTTTGCTAAGCTTACGCATCCTTCGCATCTCGCAGTTCATCGAGCATTACCTAGACGGCGCATCACAGCTCGATCTGTTGGCGCTCCAATTGCTGCACGAGTGCGTCTTGCGAACGCAAAAACAGGTCTGTCAAATGATGGCGCGCCACTACGAGACAGCCATTCTACAAGGGCGCAACGACCTCCGTTTTGAGGATCTCAACCTCCGTGTGGCTGACGCCAAAGAACCGCCAATCAGCGACGAAGAAGTGACATGCATGAGCGGATGTGCGCGAGAGCTGCTTGGCGTTCTGTTATTGACTGATCCGACGGTGAGCAGGACCTTTTCCTACGCCCGCAACCTCAAGCCGAGCTGCAGCTGACACACTTTGTCGCCTGCGCTAACAGGATCAGGAGAGGACGTTAAGTGAAATAAGCGACCGCTACTCTGCCCAAGAGGGTGGTACAGGAAATGCCGCAGATCGTCAGGGCGTTTCGTGATGGCGCCCATAAAGGTGTCGCCGCGGGACATTGCGAGAGGCTACACGAGGGCTTTCGACGGCTGCAAATCCTCAATCGATTGGGAATCTTTGAGCTTCCTTTGGCTCTCACTCGACTGTACTTTTATCTTTGCCAATGTACTACAACAATCTCATTCGACACTACGATGCGGGCATGCGGGAGGCGCGCGCTGTCGAGAGATGGGAAAACATAGGAGTAGAGCAGGGTTCATCGCAAGTCCTCCTGACCAAAAGCCGCCCATAGGGTTGAGCGCGGGGCGCAGAGCGGAAAGGCCCTTGTTCTAGCACAACTGTCTTGACTACAGAGTACGTGCTGAATCGGTTCGAGGGTTGCAGGAGCGCGAGCGAGGGATCTTGGACAGGTGGATGTACAGCTGAGGGATCTTGAGGGAATCAAATATCTGGCTGCATCCTCCCAGCATACGGTTGGGTGCACAAGCAGCAGCAGCAGCGCGCGCAGCGAGGTGGGCCACGCGCACTGACACTTGAGGGTCACGTGACGTCATCCTTTCAGCGGCACGCAACTATTCTTGATTGAACAAGGCGCACGCAAGAA